TATTATATGAATGCAAAAGGGATTTTTTACAAAACAACACTTAATCCCTTCATTGCTCACTGAAATGAGTCTGATCATAATTTTAATTTAAAAAATGCTACTTTGATTAAAAGAGAAAGCAATTTAAGATGAAGATGAAAATGTATAGAACGCGCGTTAATCACTAAATCATCCACAATAAATTTGTATCCAGGTTCTTACAACATTTCACTTTTCTTGGCCAGTCTTCTATTATCACAATGTGAGAAAATTTAATAGCAAAAGTGATAATAAAAGTAAACAAAAGAAACAAAATAAAAAATAACTATGTATAATTATGTACCCAAAAACAGATTATAAAAGAAAAATGAAATTTACAAGTTTAAAATTTCAGCATTCATGCCCCCCCACCCCCCTTTGTGTGCATGTGTAGTTACATCAATGGAAGCTGCACTAATATGTAAATCATCAAAATATTTACTTGCAAAAAATGTTTTTGTCATAAAATACTATAAAAGTATATTTTTAAGACTGGTCAGTAATTTACAGATAAGAATTCAGGACTGATTTGTAAATTGCTATGCAATTTTTATTTTAATCATTTCACTCCAAGCAAGGTAATAAAGACAAAATTCAAGAATATGAAAAACAAAGAACAATAATCGAATAAGAATTAAGAAGACAGATTCTAACAATTGACATTACATTTAAATTTTTGAAGTTCAAAGTTGTCTGGAAAGCAAGAAGCCAGATGTAAGTTCCACAAATGAGAAGTGTGATAGAAGAAACTGTTAGCATAGAATGTCTGATTACATCTAGCGATTTCAATTGTAAAATGATGAGACCTTGCTGCCAATCTAGTACTGCACTTAAATACATAAAGTTTACGTATCATAGAGGAAAGTTCATCAGAACAATTTCCATGAAAATATTTATAGAAAAGGCACAGGGAAGCTATGTTACAATGGTGGGAAAATAACTGAAGCCCAGATGCCAGGACAGGAACAACAACATTGCAGATTCTTCCTTGTATTTTATCAAGAATCTTTAAATACATAGTAGAAGCTCCAGACCTGATGTGGTAGCAATATTCAATTCATGTAACAATGGTAAATGTGTAAGATAGATTCTGGTGAGAAAATTTGGCTAGCACAACAAATTCTGGCATACTCATAATCACACATAATCCTACAATTGACCAATTTGATAAATTGCAAAGAAAATCTCATTTGAACCCTATAGACGTGAGTATTTCTGATAAGATATATATTTTTATTTTATATATTTTCTATATAATACCAGTTATTTTATAATACCAGTCTGGCCTGCAAATTTTATGATACCAGTTTGGTCGGCAAAATTTATATCTGTCTGGCCAATAAATGTTAAAATACCAGTCTGGTCTACAAATGTTATAATACCTATCTCAGCTACTAATTTAATAATAAAAATTAAAATATCAAATTTTCAGGCTAGTCAAGTTTGCAAATATTATAATACCAGTTTGACTAGCAAATTTTATAATAGTGGTCTGGCCTGCAAATTTGATTATACCAGTTGCTACTACAAATTTAATAATGCCAAACTGGCCAGCAACTTTTATGCCAGTTTGACCTGCAAATATAATAATATCCACCTGGCCAGCAAATTTTATAATACCAGTCAGGCCAGCTAACCTTATATCTGTCTAATTTAATAGTACCTGTCTAACCTGCAAATCTGATAATACCAGTCAGGCTAGCAAATATTAAAATTCCAGTCTAACCTGTAAATATTATAATACAAGTTAAACCTGCAAATTTTATATCAGTCTGCAAATATTGTAATACCAGTTGGGCCAGTATATGTTATATATATGTTTAGCCTGCAAATTTTATAATACCAGTCTGTCCGGCAAATTTTATATCTGTTTAGCCTGCAAATTTTATATTTTGCACTGCAAATTTTGTAATACCAGTCTGGCCTGCAAATTTTAAAATGCCAGCCTAGCCCATAAATTTTATAATACTAGTCTGACATGAAAATTTGATAATATCAGTTAGGTCAGCAACTGTTATATCTAGACTATAAATTTTATTACACCAGTCTGGGCTGCAAATTTTACAATGCCAAGCAAGCCCGTAAATTTTATAATACCAGTCTGGCCAGTAAATCTGTCTAGCCAGCAAATTTTATAGTGGCAGTCTAGCCTGTAAATTTTATAATACCAGTTTGAACTGCAAATTTTATAATACCCATCAGGCCAGCAAATTTTATATCTGTCTAGCCTGTAAATTTTATAATACCACTCTGGCCTGCAAATTTTACAATATCAGTTTGGAAAGCAAATTTTATATATGTCTAGCCTTCAAATTTTATGATGACAGTCTGGCCTGTAGGTTTTATAATGTCAGTTTAACCTATAAATTTTATAATACCAGTCTGAACTGAAAATTTTATTCTACCAGTCAGGCCTGCAAATTTTATCGTACCAGTCTGGCCTGCAAATATTATAATATCATTCTGGTGTGCAAATTTTACAATAGCACTATGGCCTTCAAATTTTATAATACCTGTCTAGCCTGTAAATTTTATAATGTCAGTCGTCTATCCTGTAAATTTTATAATACCTGTCTGGCCTGCAAATTTTGTAATTACTAGTCTGGCTAGTAAATGTTATATCTGTCTGGCCTATAAATTTTGTAATACCAATCTGGTTTGCAAATTTTATAATGCAAGTCAGAACAGCAAATTTTATAATACTAGTCTGGTCTGCAAATTTTACAATGCCAGTCTAGTCTGTAAAGTTTATAATACCAGTCTTGACTGCAAATTTTATAATACCAGTCTGAATTCCAAATTTTATAATACCAGTCAGGCCAGCTAAATTTATATCTGTCTAGATTGTAAATTTTTTTAATACCAGTCTGTCCAGCAAGTTTTATAATACCAGTCTATATTGTACATTTTATAATACCTGTCAGGCCAGCTAATTTTATATCTGTCTAGGCTGCAAATTTTATAATACCTATACTGCCTGCAAATTTTACAATGCCAGTCTAGTCTGTAAATTTTATAATACCAGTCTGGCCAGCAAATTTTATAATATCAGTCTGATCTGCAAAATATCCAAGTTAGGTAATATACATGAAAAATGATGTTTTTGAATAAAATCTGTCAGGAGCAATTGGTTTTCCTTTTTAAACTATATATGACTTATATAATTCCTGGTCAGTATTTTACTGACCATAATGTTGGTCTGGTCCATAAAATATAACAGGGGTTTTGAATTTGTTTTTAAATCTTGTATTTTTGCTAGAAACTCATAAATCTAACTTCTCTGATAAATTTTATTTACTTGGTATACCTGAAAGTTAATTTTACATAGGAATCCTGTTTTTACAATCTTGACAATAAATTATCCCAAATATCTCAAAATACCAAAAGTAAATGAATGAGGACTTTTATATTCTGAAATAGGACACCATCATGGTAGCATTGAGACCAAAATACATTTGTCAACATTTAGTTACCGATTCCATTTTGTATTGCCTGAACTAGAAATTACTATTCTTTCATGATTTAATTTTGAGTGGGAAGTCTGTGAGATGTAAGACATCTGATCCTGTTACCTTCAGCAGTAAGTTGAGACGAGAATGCTGGGCTCTGAGATACATTGTGGTCAATAAAAACTTCAGATGACATACAAAAACATAATACAGACAATTTTGGACAGTGAAACAAACCTTCCAAGTTTTCTTTGTTGATACAAAACAACTCACTCATTGCTACTATAATTCTTCAAGGCTCTACACATTTACCACAAACAACATTCACTCAGCAACTCATCCAACAACAAATGCTACATCTACTACACTGACCTATTGACCCTGACAAGTCAGAGCATTAACAACATCTTGTAATCTTTGCTGTCATCTTCTACCAAAGACTTTTTAAACTTTAGCAACTAGTGTAATTCAACACTATGCCCTTATTTTTTTCATGCAAGTCATTGTAATTAAACAAATTCTTTCCATTTCAATTTCATACTGAGTGCAAAGACCTTTTTTATCATTTGCCTGAAGAGATAATCAACTGATATCATTTCTTTTTTAGTATATGAGAAAAATTTTCATGTATTTAGATATTTTTGTAATGGTTTGAACAATTTTGGATTAATTGTGGAGTTGTCCCATGAAAATCACACAGACACACATTTAAGTCAGTGCATTTACAAATATAGGGTGTTCCAATAATTTGGACCGATTTTCAATGGGAATTAAGTTTAAGCATCTAATGATTTTTTCTTTTTCTTTCAGATTTAACAACTTAAGTCTTTGGCAATTTCAACAATGGAAAGAATAACAATCAAACAATGTGTTAAAGTTATCAAAGTCTATTACGAAAATGGATGTTCAAATAGAAATGCATTTTGCACACTTTGCAATTTTTTGATCAACATAATTGAACAAATGAGAGTGCAATTGTAAAAATTTTTCATAAATTCAAACAAACTGGGTTGGTGGCAGATGTGAAAACACCACTGTGTGCTTGTTTATGCTGTTCAGCTGAAAATGCTGAAAATCCAGACCCCCTTTATTTGTCATTGCGCAGAGGAATTGAACCTCTCCACAACAATGTTACATTGAATCTTGACAAAAGATTTGTCACTAGACGCTTACAAAATGCATTTGACACAAAATCTGAAACCTGCTGACCATTCGGAGCAGCGTACATCAGTTGGGTGCATGAGCAAAGACAAGCTGATGAAGATTCTTCACAAAAATCCTCTTTAGTGATGAAGCCCATTTTCATCTTGGTGGATTCGTTAATAAACAGAATTATCACATTTGGGCTGATGAAAATCCAAGGAAGATTGTTGAAAAGCCACTGCATCCACAAAAAGTCACTGTTTGGTGTACATTTTTTTCCTTGCAGAATCATTGAGTTGTATATTTTAAATTTGAACATCCATTTTCTTAATACGCTTCAATAACTTTAACACATCGTTTGATTGTTGCAGATACTTATAAAGAAAATACCTTGGCTATTGTTGCATGATCACTGTTTTTCTTAGCCTCAACAAGCCATGTATCCAAGTGGTTCAGGAAGTTCATACGGATCCTGAAGATGAGACATAGCAAAAATTTAAAGAATTTCAAAATTGCTTAAACAAGAGCAGAATTATATTTGCATACATATGCACAATGCATGGAGAGCATGCATTTACGTTCAAACAACTATTACTGTAAAAAAAAAAATAGCATTTTATTAATAACTTTATTAGCTAAACGAAATGCTCATCCTACCATTGCAGGTGATTCCAGTTGTCAAACACTAGTGTGTTTTGAGTCTTGTTGTTGCTAAAGCAACATTAAAAAATAACTCAAATGAAAGGGAAAATAAAAGAGTTGAGAAGGATCTTGAAAAAGAATGCAGTAGAATGAGAACAAAAACTCTTGAATAATACAGAGTGCTAAATTTTAAACATTGTTACTACTAATCCAGGAGCTCCAGTACTACCTCACAATATCTCCAGATTGTAGTGATTTTTCTTCAATGTGAGAATGCAACTACTTAAGACACGTAGACACAAATTAAGTTAGTAATAAAGGCATGACATTATATTAATAACACAGCATGAGTTGCATGTATATATGAGGAAGGCAAATAGGCATGACTATCATTTACTAGACATGCTTAGGAAAGGCAGTTGGGATCTATCATCCATTTACTAACCTGTTTTTGTGTGTGTGAAACAGTTGAATTTGAGCAGGATGTTAATTTTGTCATTGTTGTTTAGGAAATTTAATAGCCACCATCAAGTCCTGATCTGAATCTGACTGAAACTCTATGGTCAATTGTGAAGATGAAATTATATAAAGGTGGCAAAGAATATAACAGCAAAGCAGACTTATGAGAAGCAATTAAAACTACTATGTCAGAAATTGAACCTGCTGAAGTAAAAAAATTAACAAAATCAATGGCTAATAGATTAGTGGCTGTTATTGAGAAGAAGGGTCACTGTATTAAAATGTAAATGATTCAAAGACTTATAATATGTGTTTGTTATTTGTTCTATTATTGGTGTTGATCAATTTTTTATGATTTCATTACTTTTTTATTGAAGTAAAATGTGATTATTTGATTTTGTCTAACAACTGCAGATGGTAGTTTGTTTTAGAATACCAAATAAAATTTCAATAAAATTTATGGATACTACCTAAAATTTTAACTCAAGCTTTGTTTTCACATCCAAATTGATTGCTTAAAATTTGACAATTTTTTTTTTCCAAATCAAATTTGAATGATTGAAGTTTATATGATTTGCTTAATAACTTTAGACAGATTATAGACAGGTGCTACAAGTGAAGTTTTACACTTATTGAGAAAAACAAAGTTCTCTTTCCTCAGATTTTGTTGAGAATTTCAAGAGCAGAAAGCTTATTGAACCATGGATGGTTAGTTCCATGCAGAGTGTAACATGCTAATTAATCTCTTAATGAATTTCAGGGGATTATATATAACAAAAAAAAGCACCTGAAAATTTAAACTGGTTGCAAGCAGGAAGCAAACTGTATTGTGAGACTGCTCAAAGCCAAAACTGCAACAACAAAGGCCAATGATGGTGATGTATAAAAAAAGTAAAATGAACATACTGTAATTTAATATCATGTACAAAAACATCTGCAATATACAAATGTTGGACACTTGGTTTTTCCAGCATTGATTCCTCACTGTTAACTGCTTTTTCATCACTTAAGTGACACAGATATCTGGTTCCTGAATCAGTCAACAAGTAGCAAGTTTCTTCATCAGGCTGGAAATATAAAACAAAACATATTTTCAGAATTAACAAAGTAACAGTTTTTGTGCCTCTACAAAAGGGTTAAATAAATGTAGATGTTTTTTTCTTTTACTGTTGAGACGTTAGATTTGATGAGAATAAACAAAAAACAAAAAAAAAGATGATTTCAAACATAAAATGAAAACTAATCTGATACCTTCTACAGTTTTAAGAGTTGTTGTCATTCCAAGAGTTATTTAGACACCTGAATTTGTGTTACTTTTGTTATAACTACATTTTGGCTGATCCATTCTAGAGCCTTCTTCAGGTGTACAATCATCCAGTTATTCTACATGAGTAAATTCTAAGCACAGCTGGGTTGACCAACTGTTTACATGTTGAGGCAGCCACTGACATTCTGTGAGGCACGAATTTGCACCTGGTGGTTATGAGGTTACCTTCCTTACCTTCCAGGTCAACCTACTAATGCATCTGGCTTCTCTGATCCATTGTCTAAGTACAAAGTCTATTTTAGTTTCATCAGTGAGTTAGTAAAATACCTTTAACCTCAAATTCTATTGGACATAAAATAGGGCATCATTTTTCTAATTGTTATTAAGGGATAAAATTCTCCCCATCCTGTAATTAATTAGTACATTATATATTTGGGCATTATATTCAAAGAATCATTTTTAAAAATAGTAAGGGCTTAACAAAATATTTTTCACAGCATAAGTAAACTACTTTTAATCTCAGATTCTGTCGGTCATTATATGATTGATTTTACATAGTCATTAAGTTATAAAATAGTTCACAAAAATTAGTACATATTAATATAGGTACTGCCAAAGATTTGCTAAAAAATGAGCATACATGATGAAAAAAATTCCCCAAATTTAATAAAAACAAATCTTTATGTTATTATTAAGAGGAAAGACCAAAGGATTTTTGATTATTAAATGATCTGTTTTATCCCTTTTAGATCATTCAAAATTTTGTTTTTCTTATGTCAGTGGGTGGCCATAAATTAGTATAGGAAATTTTAGCATTTTTTCCTAGTGAAAAATACAATGATTTGGAAATTCTTGTAAAAATCGAATAATTGTAGGATTTTATTAAAAACATTCAAGACTTATTCGCAAATGAATGAAATTATTTTAGAAACATTTCTTTTTTAGAAAATCTTAGTAAAATTATTACCCCCCCACCATGTCACTTGTTTAATTTCATGAAATTTCCAGAAATTCATTTATGTAGCACTTTATATTTATATTAGTTATAAGCACAAGTCCTTGGAGAATTTGGACCATGAATTTCTTTTTGTAAAACAGCCCCCCACTCATGTTACAGAAAATCTGCTCTGAATTGTATAATAAAAAATGCAATAAAACTAAGATGTTATTTAATTAGAAAAGCTTTTAATTACTTTTATGAACAAGATATATTATGGACACTATTGTCTAATCTTTTAAAATTCTAAACTTCCTGTCTTTTGTAGCTCTTAGCAAAGTTTGTCCTTTTGTTATATCTCCAAATCCCTGTTCTGCCAACCATTTCCACAAACTTGTTAGGTAAGTTATTTACTGATTTCCTCTGTTCCTCTTACCTTCAATATATCCTGTGAGTGTCAAATTTTCCAAGTCCTCTTTCTTCATTACATGCACAAGAAATTTCAACTAACTCTTTCTGATACTATGAATTAGTGTCCTTTCTGTTTCCATTTTCTCTAAAACTTTATTCTTTGCTCATGTGTTCAGTCCATGATATTCTTAACATCTTTCTACAGAACGACTAATTCTTCTATGATAATCCTAAGACCACTGCTGTTTCAAAATCATTCAAATGACCAGTATGATTGAAAGACTCTTGATAGTTTTGTTTACTAATACTTCTGTATTTTCAGTCATTATGGAACTGGCTTAATGAATAGAAGAAATATTTCAAATGTCTATTTAATCTTACACGATTTAGGCAAGATTCATCAGAAACAAAAACTTATTTGTGCCATGTTTTTATAGTTTTTACTGACATATCAATTTGAAAAGGATATAAAATTTTATTGCTATATAGCATCATTACTTTTTCATGGTAAACAGAGTGAATAATTTAAATGTAGCCTCTTTCCATCCTGGGAACAAAATTATATAATTTTGAAATTAGACACCCCATTTTTATTTATTAAAGAGTGTATATTATGCATATCAGCTCACACATTTGAAAAATTTTGTTCTCAAGCATGGATTAAACCTGTATTCCCCTTTGTAGGAAAAACCACTGTTTGACCTGAGGTGTTCTCCTGCTTGGCCTCAATGAATGTCATTGTAAGGTTTTATACTCCAACCACTATTTTTTAAGTAAAGTATGTCCTTTTCACTAATTTCTACGTTATCAATGAATTTAATTTTTAATTCAACATTGTATCTTATTTTTTATAAACAGTGTGAATTAAATATACTGGCATATGCATTGCAGCCCTTAATGAAGAAAATGCGCTCTCCAGCATGGTTTGAACCTGTGTCCCCCTTTATAGGGGAAGCCACCGTGGCTAAGTGGTCTAAAGCATGTGAGATCAGATGGTGTTTTGCCCTAGAAAGAGGGGATACATATTTGAACTGTCAGAGAGCACATTTCCTTTATTAAGTCTTTTGAATATACAGGTTGGTAAATGTAATTTACACTGTTTATATATATATATATATATATATATATATATATATATATTAGTCTATATTTTATTTTAGTGGATACCCATGTTTGAGTAGATGCCCCATTATATATATATATATATATATAGATAGATAGATAGATAGATAGATAGATAGATAAACAGTATAAATTATCACTACCATAAACAGACAAAAATTAGTTTTATTATTACCACTCATGATAATAAAAAGAAAAAATGGGTTAGCTAACCGGTTTCATACCATGCTCAACAGAGCTAAATCGAGGTAAATTATATAAAAAAGAATGGAGAAAGTGTATTGGTGGAAGAGGAAAAAAAAAAAAAAAAGAGACAAAAAAGTCATCAACGTAACAGAAATAAATGACACCAAGGCTGGATGTTAGAATAAAACTACACATTCCAGCGAAAATCCAAAACCTTAAGTACACTCCCTTGGACATTTTGGCCAATACATACAGTTCTTCCATCACAGAACACCTTATAAATAGCCATAATTGTGCTGTTAGTTTTAGTGGTGACGCTTTTACCATCCTTAGCTGGTCCAACTCAAATTACCACCTAAAAGTGTTGGAGGCCATCTATATTCTATCATGAAAGCCTTCTGTTTGTAAACAGAAGGACTTTCTATTAGGCCTCCAACTAATTACCATTTAAAATTTTTTTTTTCTTGTCCCTTAATACGCTTTGTCCATTCTTTTTTATATAATTTACTTTATTTACCTTGATTTAGTTCTGTTGAGCGAGGTACGAAATTGGTTAGCTAGCCTGTTTTTCATTTTTTCTTTTTATTATCATGAGTGGTAATAATAAAACTAATTTTTGTCTGTTTATGGCAGTGATAAAATTTTGTATTGCTAAACATATCTATCTATCTATATATATATATATATATATATATATGTGCATCTAAGAAGAGATGCTGAAAAGTTCTTGGCCCAACACATTTCCCAAAATCTGACCAAATGATAAGACATCAGAATTTATTTTGGAATTACTCCCTGATCAGGCAAAGAACTTTTCAGCACCTCCTCATATAACTGGTGAGATTTTGAGTGTTTGCTATAGATGGTCAAATTTTCATATTGAATCCTCAAATTTGGTATGCAGACTTATTGGACCCAAAAAGCAGTTTTTTGTTCATCATAAGGGAAAGGGCTACTCTATTGTGTTTCCATTAGGCAAAAATATATTTTATAGTAACAATTACCATTTGTAACCACTCAATGTAAGTTTGTAATTTCTCTATTATGATTAATGTTAGGCAAAAAAAATATTGGACAGTGTCTGAACATGTGATTTTGTTTCACTGATAGCTGAAATTTATATATATATATATATATATATATATTTATTCTGAAAGGTGAATGATATTTCAGTGCATCTTATTATTATACGATTTAGATGCAGATTGTGATTTTTTACATGTTTTTAGATTAAAAGTGAAAATGGATGAAAATGAGATGCATTTTTGTCATTTGATTCTCTTTTATTTCTAGAAAGGAGAAAAGGCAGCACAGACAGCAAAAAAGATATGCACTCTTTATGGACATGGTGCCATAGCTGAGATATATACTGTTTGTAAATGGTTCACTAGAGTCAGAAGTGAAAATTTTTCATTTAGAAGATCAGAGCAGTTTTGTCGGGCTTTCAGTATTTGATGATGACCAAATGAAAATGCTGATTAAAATAATCCAGGTCACATGACATGTGGGACATTGCAGAAAAGCTTCACACATTTCCTATGTGTGTTGTAAGGTGTACTTGAAAACACTTGGATGCTTGAATTGCTACAATGTTTGTCTGACTCAAAATTTAAGGGAAAAAATATAATGGATCACTTTTTCATATGCAATTATCTGCTCAAACGCAATAAAAATAACCCATCTTTTAAAACAGTGATCACAAGTGATAAAAAATGAATTCTTTACAACAATGTGGAACAAAAAATGCCCTAGAAAAAACAAAATGAAGCACAGTTAACCACTCCAAAATCCAGCTTGCATTACTCTTCAAGGCTTTCACACAGACTATTTATTAACCACTGTTTAATTATAAATATGGGTCTTGAAATTTGTAATGTGTTCATATTATTAAAAAATGAGATTATTAGATAATTTTTTCATATACCATTCAAAATGTAAGCAATCATTGCTTTCCACAGCTTCCTTTTCTCTATTAACTGTGAACTGCCGTGTCTTCTTGGGGAAAATTGTGGAGGTATTTCCAGTTACCATCTCCAGTTTTGAATTCGGTTGTTCTTCTCCTTGACTCATTTTTATCCAAGGCTAGAGAGCTTTGTCTACACTACAATTTAGTCCATAGCAGGTGGGAGAATAAAATGGATTCA